CACACAGCTCTACGAAAGTGTGCAGCTTTCACACATCTCCTGGGGATCCGTGTTGCATTAGTCAAAGGTTTAAACCCAGTGTATTCCCCACGAATAATCTTTTTCCCCTTCCCCCTCCTTCCTCCTGTCCACATCTAAATGCAGAATCCCCAGCTTCCTTGTCTCCAGTTTACAGATTATGTGATCCAAAGTGTCACTCACTGGATTACTGCACATAACCTGAGCACTACCCGAAGCTTACTTGTCTTCCACTTGTCCAGCATTACTTAAATGGAATTATCCGTCACAATCCATATACCGAATCTGCATAGCCCACTTATCTCAAGATTCTGTGTGTCACCTACCAGATTATCCGTTTTAATCCATACATTGAATCTACATAACATATGTCTTTAATTCATGGGCTCTGATGAGCTATAGTATCGCTGAATGGATTATTTCTCTTTATCCATTATTGGCAGTCCTAAAACCGTTCACTGCGTACTCTCTCATGCCCCATCTTCTGAACACATAAGCAAAATGAGAGTCTTCAGCAAACACAGCTCTATCACACATCAAACATAGCCCAATATAATACCTACACTGACACTTCACGTAACTTGGAACACAGCTTCTCGCACAAAACAAATGCCTGTGTTATCGTGAATTAAAGATTAGGATTGGTAGGCTAATCTTGCTTTCAATGACACTCATAAATCTGTGGTTACTCCACCACAGCCTTTGGAGTCACCTAGATTTAAGTGGATACAATGAAGAGCTGAGTTTAACCTAATGACCATCCCCTTCACAGTTAAGTGTAGAAAACACTTCACCTGAGTTGTTTACGAACTACCCTGCACAATAGAAAAGGGTTTTCAAACAACAACAAAAAATTCAGGTTCAGGCTTGCCCGGTCTTTTTGAGAGATTCAGGCCAATCGCTGTTAACAATGCCTTCCCTTCAACAGAAAACCAACTCAGAAAGATTGGAAACAAAAGTCTGTTTAGCCTTTTGTTCTACATACCTATTCAAAATTAGCTAAGTGGAGAACATATAAAATACGCATTCTTATTTCTTGACAACTCTCAATAAACCAGAGATGGACAAGATTAGCAGGAAGGCTTTGTGCACACTGGGGAAGTTTTAAAAATTAAGAGTTCTCATCGTGGCTAAAACTGCCTCACTCACACCAGCGTTAGCAAGGTTTTGAATCTCCTGATGCACCTGAGAGGTCAGCACTGTTTCTTGAGATCTGCTCAGAGGAGACCCAACACCAGTGAAAGAGAAGCTTCCTGTTAATTTTACATATATAGGGATGGGCACTGACAAGAGTGTGGAAATATGGTTTTTTATACCTTTCCCTAGTGACAGCGTACCCCACGTGCTGCATCTGCTGCAGATGGTTAACACTGCTTTGGAGGACAGCAGCCACTTTCACCCTGCAACGCACAGCTATCAGGCAGCTACACTGACAGCAGAAAGGGGGTATAATTTTCCTTCCTGTAGATGATCGGTTTGAGACCTGAAGATCTCTCTGCTCCACTGAATCCAATAAACTGCATTATCCATGAATAATCCAGAGGCCTTTTGAGCCCTGTTTTTGAATATGATGGATATAAGTAAGTTTGAACAGGCTTTAACCAATTCAATATACAGTTTTACAGCTTTACTTTAAAATACTTTGATTTAACGGCATGTTTTGTGGGTTTTACTATAGAGCGACTTGTTTTGAGCAGAGTAAAAATCCCAGGGATTTCAAGGCAGAATTTCTTAAGAAATTTTTAATGCCAAACTTGTATTATTTATTTAGTCCCAGACTATCTCTCTGAACAAACAGAGGCATTTGAGCTACAATTTCTATGGATACGAAAGGTTCTAGATTTTGCCCCATTTTAACACTATTCCCTTGCAGTACCTTTCAGTCAAGCCCTGGATTAAAAGAACACATTGCCTTTTCCATTAGTGACTGGACATATACAGATCCTTCTAACTGTGATCTTCAAGTTTGCAGCTGGATCTCTGCAGATACTCAGTGATGGTTCTCCCGTTGCACAGGCATAGAGATGACGAAAGGGGGGGCTTAAAGTAGCTGCCGAAGGTAACAAAGCAACTAAGAGGAACAACTGAATACAAAACGTGGGAGTCTGGTGACTTCCAGCCATTCACCAACTCCCCCATCTTTAATAAAATATTACTGCCTTCTAACTTAAAAGAAATCACACTAATAGAAAATAAAGCCTTCCTCTTCATCTCCCTTTCTTTTAATCTCTCCCAGAGAATAAAACTCAATGGTAATAACACAGACTGGGGCATTAACAATATGTAGCCTAGCGCTCAGACTTTAGCACATGACGTACTAAAACTCCCCCAGATCTAATGAAAAACACAATGAAATTTTGAACAGTTAAATGGAAAAAACTATTCAATGCATAAGACAGTTGGGCAGTACAGCTTCTAGCGCTGTCCACATTCCAGGGTGTATTAATAATAAGACACTACTTTTGTGGGGTTTCCAAACATCACTAATAGAGACATGAGAAGGGAAAAAATGCAGCTGGTAGGCCAAATACAGAGAGAAGTTAATTAAAAAATCACAACTGGAAAACTTAATAACTCTACGTTCCTATAGAAGGGCAAAAACCATTTTCTAGCATAATATACGTGTGTTTGTACACGCGTACGTGAGTATAAAGCAGCTCAACTTGCACACCTTTCATGCTGCCTCACTAAATACAGCTGCAATACAGCTGAGCCATTGTTTGTTGGCCGCTCATGGCTGGCGGTGCCATGAAAACCGCATTCCTGGGCACTAAATAATCAGCCTGCCTGACCCCCCAAGAACCTGTAAGTCAAATTCATTTACCCCCAGAGGGCAATGCTCTATTGTATCCTCCCTCCTTTCTAGCCACCTAGGAACAATGGACAATAATTGCAACTGTCACGGCAGTCAGTAGGAAAAATAAACCAGTGCCTGTTTTCACAGCTTACTGCCAAACCTGATCCAAACACCTAATAACCATGCTCCCAACCATAGAACCACAGTTGCACTAAAAAGCCTCAGATGTGAGGCTTTTGAACAGAGTTACAGAACAATAACTCGACTTGTGCTCAAAATATGAAGCTAAAAAACAAAAACTAAAGCAAAGAAAACTCTTCTTTGAGGCTGTGCTGTTGCTCCCCATCCTCCCCCTCGGGCAAGACTGAAAGGACTGTTGAATTTCTCTCGTGGTAGCATATATAGCTGGCTGCTGCCGCTTTCAAGTTTAGCTTGTGGAAAGGAGAGAGAGGAATGGAGAAAAAAGATTGCCCTCCAACAGAACAAGATCATAGGCACTGGGAACAGACCGCCTTCTCAGTGCACAAAACTTTTTAAGAGCAGCTTTACCGAGTCCAAAGGCATTGAAGAATCACTGGGAGTCCTTCTAAAGGCTCCAAGCGTATCAAGAGTTAAAGATTGGCTCCAGACAACTTGCAAGAACTGCTGAAACACACAACCAAAAGTGGGTATGAAAGACATCTTGGTACTTTGGGCCTGAAACACCTTAAAGCTTCATCAGTTCACAAAAACGATGATGTTAGTTTGAAACAATGTGCTTTTAAAAAGCAGAAGTCACAGGTAAGCCCAGTGGCCACCCTTCCTCTTTATGACCTGTTGCTTTACGCAAACGGAGTGGGAATAGAGATCCAGCGTTTGGCCCTCTGTTATAATAATATCTCAGCCTACCGGGGGCTGGAGCACTATATTCTGTTATAAAGTTATTCTACATATGTAATGAATATATATTTTTGAATTACAGCCTCTCAGGGAGAAGCCAGGGGAAGCAAGTGGCATATTTTCCTACTTGTGTAAGTCAGCGGACTAGCGCAAACTGAGCCGGGGGCTTATCGGTGACAAGCTGGAAGGCACATATAATTAAAATAACACTATCTTTGCACATGCACCAATACATTAACCTCTGGGAGCATGTCATGCTGTATATGCTTGAACTAAATATTGCCCACCTCTTGCAGAAGAGGTCCCTAAATCTGTCAGGCATGAGGCTTGGGAGCCTGCCTGAGTGCGGATCTCTGTATCAGGGACAACATTAGTATGCAAACATACCAAAAATAATGGAGAGAAATGAAATCCAGTTTATAAACACAAAAGAAGGGTTTAATTTTAATCTCATTCGACTTTCACATTTCCAAAACAACATTGGCTTGGATTTTGCTACTCCAGATGTACACTGATACAAATGGGAGAAGAATCAGAGTCACTGTTTCTTTTCAGAGTGACAATGGCTGCTCTAGAAACTTAACATTTTTGACACGTGTATTTCGAGTCACTTCCTCATCATAAGCACTGCAGAGGAATTATGAAAATATTAAATTACATGAAAACAAACAACTACAGGTTCCCTAAAATGACCTCACATATATAAAATGGGGAAATATCTTGGCAAAGCAGAAGCTACTGCTGCTGGAGAGTGGTCAAATTTTGTCATTTTCCTTCTGGAGTACGGCTTTAAAAGAACATGCTTTAGTGCACAGATGTTGTACGCTGTCTTTTAAAATCTGCACTGGCTAATTTCAGTACCTAGAGGTATCATTACACAAACTTTGCTCTTTTTATTTTTTCCTACATGCAAAAAAATAAAGAGAAAATCTACATCATCAAAATCTGTCTAAAATTTAACAAGGAATTCTGATCACCCTCAGATTTCAGAAGCTGAGCTCTGCTATACTCTGATACCACACGTTTGATATATGACTTGACTTTTTTTTTTCCAATCCAGCAAAAGGATGTCTTCGTTTATAACACAGAATGATATATGCAACAAAAGCTTTTCGTAAGTTTGTTCACTCAGGGCAATATACCATTTCACTGATTTATATTATCACAGACGGGAGTACATACATTTCATTTAAACCCCAAATTACCACGTTTGAAGGGGAGGGGAAAAGGAGCAGACAAAGTTCCATAAAGCCAGTGGTATTTGTATATTCATTCTCAATTTCCTTTAGCACAGAAACAGCATTACCTTTTATCTCTCCAAAGTTCCCTGATCCCATGGCAAGAAGCTTGTCTTTCCAGTCCTTTGATAGTAGCTTTTCAATACTGGGAGTTTCTGAGTGAAGGGGGGGAAAAAAAATGTAAGCAAATCAACATGACTGTCTCCACAATAGAACTCATTAAAAGTCTATCTGCTAAAAATAAGGCCAACCCTATTCTGGGCCCCAGTTCATAATGACTTCATCAACAAACTGATAAGAGGGGAGGGAAGAGAAAAAAAAAAAAAAGAATGTGTTTTGTCACCTGCTGTTTCAAAACCATTAGCTTTTTCCTCTAGTGGAACAAAGCTCCGGTAATTCTGTATGACAATGGGGCACAAATAAACCTGCAGTTCATTGTTTTTCAATTTGGTGAACAAGTTGCTGCCTATAATGGATGCCTGTCAGTTTCTGGGTGTTAGTCTGCAGTCAAAAAATAATTATGTTGATAAAATGCAGAGTAAAGAGACAGAGACAGAGAAAGAGAGAGAGAAGCAAAGAATTAGGTCCTAAATCTGCTACATGTAATTATATCCCTCTGAGCCTTTACAATTACATCCACTTTATAATGTGTGTTTAAACATCGTGTGGTGGTAAGCATACTGTGGAAAGATTTTTCCGGTAACACGCACATTATAAATAATAATAAAAAGTTGGGTATGAAAAAAGCCTTAAAAGACTGCAAAATCCAGAGGGAGAAAAGGCATTGCTTAGAATGGAAACCCATTATTTGCTCATTTCAGATTCTATCACTTCCTTTAAAAATAAAATAAAATAAAATATATTTGTTCAGTATTTTCAGGAAAAATGCAGCGAGGGTGTGGATGGGTCTGATATTTATGTCTATAACTCTTGTGTTCTGACCTCTTTTTGTGTAGAATTTTAATGCATAAGTAAATATAAATGCTAATAAAATTCAGAGAACATTAAACTCAATTCCAAACAATGTAATTGTATATTCTTGTCAGCATTTAGATGGGTACACAATTACAATAGCTTTCAATCCCACGATTAGCACTGCATTCAGTTAGAAAATGGAGTGTACTAAAAGATAAGTGTCCCAGTATGTGCCATCTAAATAACAATACCCACACTTATTATCTGGATCTAAGACATATACTGCTATTCTCCACATTTGTGTTTATGTGTATTTGTATTTGTTCAGGCATTTGTTTACCCCCTACCAGGAGCATAAAGGGAGTACATGTTAACTTATCAAAGGGACCGTCTGGCCTAGAGACCATACAATTATTAGCAACTGGTTAATTTTCCCCACAGTAAAAACCATTACGAGCAACCTTCATTATCTCGTTTGGGCTAATTCCGCCTCCTTTCTTGAAGCCCCAACTTGAAGCTCGGAGGCGCTGCGGTTCCTCGGGGCGGCTCCGCCGGCCGCGCTCTCCCGGCCAAGCCCCGCAGAGCCCCCGCCGCTCCCGAGGGGCTGAGCGAGCCCGGGCTCCCCTCAAACCAGCCACCCGCAGTGCACTGTCAGTGCCTGAGGAACCACAGCGACACGGGCACAGGGATGCCCCTCCTGCATCTCGCATCACCCCCGACGCTGCCTCGCACACGGGTGTGCGCCGACAGACAGACAGACAGACGGACGGACAGTCAAGACACGCGCGCCGGGCACAGCCCCACGCCTGCATCCCGCCGGGAGCGTAGCGACAAGCTACGGATCCCACCGAACAGCACAGGAGGGTATTTTGTTCCGTGACATTTTTATTCGCGCTGCGGCACCCCGATCTCCTGCCGTGCGCCCGCGGGCAGGGCCGCTCCCTGCGCTGATCCCCGGGCTGATTTTTCTGTCAGAATCCCTAAAAGCGCCATGAAATCCTAAGGAGGCGGGCGGGAGACGCTGCCGTGCAGAGCAGGGTCCGGTGCCGGGGCTGCTGCCGCCGGGCTCCGGGCACTTGCGCAGCTACTCTGAAGTTTGTCCGTCCCCTCGAAGCACCCATGAAGGAAACCATTCCCCCAGTGTGAATAGGTCAGATAAACGCCGTCACTTTTTTCCCCCTCCCTTTAATATTTTATTTTTTTATTCCCCTGTGCTTTTCTAAAAACTCGGGAGCAGCGTGTAAACAGGCCCGGAGCAAATGCGGTATTTGCGGCGGAGGGCTGTCAGTCATTAAAAGCCAACAAACCTTTGCGAAGCAGGAATGCGGCAATAGGGATCCATTGTGAGCTGACAATGGGCTCCAGAGCCTCCAGGCACTAAAAGCAGCCCGCCTTACTTTTAAGTCCATTGTCAGCAAAGTCCACGACAAAGCTTTTCCCCTGCAGCTAGACAAAATATTCGCCGTGGTGCGCTCGTAAAGAAACACAAGTCTTCTGTCTAACTTGCCGCCTTAAAGCTACAGTAGCCGCTCGCCGGGGCTGCCAGGGCCCCGCTGCCTCCCTCCCTACCTCCCGGTTTCCCTGCCTTGCCTCCCGGTTTCCCTGCCCGCCGCCCCCCGCCCCGCCCCTCCCCGCGGCCCCGAGTCACCGCTGCGGCCGCTCCGGGAGCGGCGCCGGGACGGGCCCGGTGTGACTTCCCCGGGGGGAGTGAGTTTGTGCTTTGTCGGTGAAACCCCGAGCGCCGGAGTCCTCCCCCCCTCGCCGGAGGGCTCGTGTTACAAACGAGTATCATCCCCCGCAACCCGACTCCGCCGGTGATTCCGGGAGAGCCGCGGACAAACAAGCGGGGGAATAATGAATGCGGTGGACGGCCATGTATCAATGACTGGATTTCTGCGAGAATGGTAAAGATCTCAGTAGGAAATCATGATTAGAGATGTGAAAGGCCAAATGGCAAAATCCCAATAGTAACAATGCATCTGTTCATTAATGTGTGAATATGAGTAATATGAAAATTTAACACAATTATAAGCCCCCTCAGCAAACCTGATGGCATAAAATAGATTGTGGTGATCTAATCAGCGTTTCCCCTGTTGAAATACTGTATGTTAACTATTCAAAATAATATTATATAGATTTTTTTTCCCTTTAAAAACCCCCAAGCAATCATACTAAATTGATGTCCTAACTTAGTTTCAAACCTCTCTTGACTTGAACTGCAATTTTTACATAAGGCACTTCAACAGAATTTTGATACAGAATCAGCAAATAATCGTCCTTCTGCTAATACTTAAAAAGAACTTTAATTCTGAAAGACAATACCTTCCCCACCCCTATAGCTTTATGGAGCTAAAGAGCTAAATTAAATTACAGCTTGTTTAATTCTATTATATACCATGTTAACATATTGTACTTACATAAAATATGCTATTCATATACTCAACCTATCACATTTCAGTAACTGCTTGTGAAATACATTATGCACCATATCTTGGAAAGAAACATTTATTATGTCATTTATGTACCCCATTAAAAAAAGATTTGAAATTTACACATCTTAAATAAAAATAACTGTTTAAAAGGTTACGACTGTAGAGGTTTCATGAATTATACAAAAACAAAGTCATCCTTTGTTCAGCTTTTTTTTAGACTTGGTTGGGAAGATGATGCTCTCAAATTATGAAAAGAAATAAACGCTGTATCTTGTTTGCAAAGCACACGTTCTCTGGATTCATTAGAAAGTCAGTAAAACTTTTAATGCTTGCACATGTCATGTGCAGCTTGAAATTGGGAAAAGGGGACCAGCACATAGGAACTGCTACTCCTGATCCCTACTCCAACAGCTACTCTCCTCTTGGATTCCACAAAACAATGTTTCTACATCCAAAAACTGAGCTATATTCCGACAGATTTTGGATATACATCAGGACATCTATGTATTACAATAATCTGTATTTCCAAAAAGCTTCACATGATGTTTTGAGTAGCATGATTATTCATAGTGCCTCCTAATTCCACCTTTGAGAAGAACTCAGAATTAGCCCCTTGCCGCCTTCTGAGCCCCACCTGAGCTAAGAATTCCCCTATCACCCCTATCTGCAGTGTTGGTCCTACAGCACACAATAAAACAATTCCAAGTCTATCCACAACACAATACCAATAGGTCTACAATAGTTGTTCATTGGTTGTTTGTGAACAGTAATACTGTTTGGAAAACATTTTTGTTCCAGACACAACTATGAAAAGTGTTAAATGTTGTAGAGGACAACTATGGATAGGGCACCAATGATAAGGACTGAGATGGAAAGAAGAACAGGATTCATTAAGTAAATGTTGGCGAAGAGGAGCCTGACTGAATCAACAGAGATAGAAATTAACCCACAAAAAATGATTTCTGCTGTCTCTATTCAACACATTTATCAGTCATTAGCTCTTTCTAGAGATACTTACAGCACATTTTGGGTTTTTTCTTTCACCCTTGCCTCTGTTGCTTGCATATGCTTCTCCACATCACTGCGTATGGCAATACCCACTGGTGAGTGGCCCTCTGCCCGTGCCAGCAGCACACTGGCTCCTCGGTGCCCCCAGCCCCGCCGCTCTCCCTCTGTGCCAAGCACCACCGAGACTGACTCCCTCATCTACAACAATGAGACTTGGAGACGGATGCCAGCAGCCAGTAATTCTCACACAGGCCTTCATCACATGGAATTAAACCACTTTCTAGGTGGTACAGGAGTCCCACGTTCACTGCTCTGAGCTGCACATGGGTGCACATGCGCAGTGATCTGTACACGTTGGGCACACATGCACCGAATGGCTCTAACGCTACTGGAAAGCAAAACACCTAAGTAAATTAACATTAAATCGCTTTTTAGTCTAACTTTTTGTATGCTAACAAGCATGCCACTGCCCTTCTGTTTCTGTATCTGATGTTTAAGTATAGCTTCATCGACTTACTTGCTAAAAGACCTGAAGTTTTCACACCGGGAAAGCAGCGGTTTTGTTTCCAGGAAGCGGATGAGGCTACAAAGCCATAGTAAGAGGGAGGCACCATTTTTATCACCGTTTGCTAGACTTCTATTGAATTTAGTCTACTTCCAGAAGTTGTGTTAATTTTTTTCAAGCATTGTAACTCCCCTTTGGGAGTGACCGAATGCTACTCTCAATTCAGTGGCAGTGCAGATGCACGTGTGTGTACCTGAACCTGCCTCGGCAGCCTTCCAGAAACACAGTCCCACAG